TGCCCCTGGAGGGACTCAGAAATCCGACGGTAGGAGCCGACCATCCCAGCGAAGATGTCGGCCTTTGAGGGGCTGCCTTTGGGATTTCTCAGAAGCTGCGTTATCTGCCCCCGTGGCTGGAGGGCTGGGCTCAGATCTGAGGTTTATTCACTTTCTCCTCTCATCCTGCTGATGGGGGAACAGATTATTTATTTAGTCGTCCTGCCTACCTCCTCGGTTAATGCAGGCAGGCGTGCGTTTTGCACTGCAAAAAGTACAAAGCGCTCAAAAAATCACCTGTTTCACTGGCCTCCCTGGCATACGGTCACACACCAAGCACAAGAAATGACTGCTAAAACAGGAGTTAAAGCATTAATGATTTGCTCACACTCATGATTCAATTGGAATGACTGCAAACTCGGTTTTAAAAAGTGAAGAGAAAGACGATCAGTAATGTGCGACTGGAGGTAAAGCCTGCAAAAATTCAGTGAGGTTCAAGTGGGTTCTTCTGTGGCTGCTGAAAACAACCATTCTCACTTGTCCCACAAAGGCGTTTTCTCTTTTCAAGTGAAAATGGAAAAATTGCCATTGCTGCAGCACACACTGCCTTAGATAAAAGAGCACTCAGGATGAAACCGCATTTCTTTCACAGTCTGGGTTGGTGGGGGTTTTTTTGTCATAAACCCCTAAACCCTGTGTCCTGGTTTCAGCTGGGATAGAGCTGATTTTCCTTCTTCGGATTTTCTAGTGATTAAACTATTTTCTTTCTTATAAAGCATTTATGGAGTGACAACCTCTGGCCCAATAAGAAAAATGCTCTTGCCTTTCCTAAAGTTACCGTTTCCCATTTTGCTGAAGAACTGGCTGTGCCACTAAACCTGCAGCAAAATTTCATTTACGATAAAAAAAAACCCCTAACATTAAGAACCACAGGATTAGAATGATTTGGGTATGATATACGATCCCAGGGCACACATAGCTCGCCTTCTTGGAATGCAGACGAATAGCCAACGTAAAAGCGTTTTCAAGGAAATAACCACATTTTGCTCAGCCACAGCCCAACTGACTTTCCTGTCGTTACTTCAGCCCTGGCCTGAGATGCTCCAGATTTACCCTCGGTGACAAGATACACAGTTGGCGATGCTCCATCACTCAGATTCTGCTTACGTGTCTCCCTCTCAATTTTCATACCCTTTTGCAGCCTCTGTGGTTGTGGAGACGAGATGTGGATTTAATCTCATGATTTTGGGAGTCCTGACTCCATCATTTTTAGTGTGGAGGGTATGTAATACCTCTCCCTCACGGAGAAAATAGCCTGAGCTGCTTTACAGCAGTTCTGTGTGGTCTGCACCGACTGCAGGGAGGTGTGTGTATGAACACTGAGATCCTACCAAACCCAGACCAAAACCCTCCCCAACATACTCGGGGTGAGCCACAGGCAAAGCTACCCCGTACGGGTAACGTAAAGGTTGTGTAAGCCCGGGACAGACTCTGCTATAGGCAGGCAGCAGCACTCCCCTTCCAAAGCTAACTACCAGATTCATTTGGTTTTGTTGCTAAAGGAAGACACGTGAAGACTGTCTCCTCGTTTCCGAAATACAAGCGCAGGAGGAAGAGTCAAAGCTTGCCCAACTGCAGACACGAGGAAGTTGGTTAAAACATCTGCTCTCGTGGCATATTTATGACGTGGGTCAAACCTTCTGACCTTTGGCAGTTTAACTGGTCCGATGGGACGGTGAGAGGGATGTTGTTTCTGTAATTCATCTTTTAAGTTGAGCTCTGATTCTCCAAGAGCACGAGCGGCTCCCGAGGAGCGGTGTTTGCGAAGGCTTGCCCCACGCCGCGCTTCCTGCGCTGCCGAGGAGCTGCCGGTCGTTGCGCACAGCAGCATCTTCTGACTGCTGCCTGGTTTTGCACGATACACAGGCTCTGCTCTGCCCGATGACGTGCGGTGTGGGTGTCACCAAATTTACTGGCTCTCTCATTAGAGTAACCTTGGACAGGTTTACCACAGCCTGACGGGAGACAGCAGCAGTGCTGGGATGGGATGGGATAGGATAGGATGGGATGGGATGGGATGGGGCTGAAGCACGTACTGTTTGCAAAACCCCGCGATTGACAAATATTTCATAGCTGGCATTGTGTCTGGATGTTTCTCCATCCACCCTTTGATGTTTAAAGCTCTGGCGAGGTGGTGCAGAAGGCACATGCCCTGCACACCATTCATGACTGCCGAGTAGCAGAATCCCTTCCGGGGACTGACGGGGCGTCTTGGGAAGCGTACCCCAAATCAAACCCTTCTGTTTGCTTATCCCCACAGGAGGTTACAAGTGTAGATCTCATCTGCTCTGCATTTTCAGCCTTTTTTTGCTAGGCCTAACTCCTTTTCGGCTTCTCCTCCTTGTTAGACTGAATTTAGATGTTTTAATGTGTGTATTTTTTTAAAAAAAAAAGCAGATAGTGTATTTGCTACTACTCTTTTTGAAACCTATACAGCTCTTCCGTCACCGGCTTCCCTTTACATACCTGCTACTAGATACACACTGTGCCCTGCAACTATTTCCCACGTGGTACTCGCCCATCCCAGAGCAGCCTTGTAACGCTGTGGTGGGTGAGTGGCCTTCCAAGGACCTTCTCCTCAGGCCAAGCAATGGAACTCAAGACACACCAGCTCTATGTCAGGTCAGGATGCAAATCAGGGTGGCTTTATCCTTCTATAGCCATGAGGAAATACTGAGAGCGGCACGGCGCGGCGCACCTCGCAGATGACGCACGTACTCCAGCCTTCCCACAGCACCTTTTGAGTTAAGTCTTATCTTTGTTATTCTTATATGGGAGTGACTTCCAGCCTCAGAAATGAGAAGCAAAGGAAAAGTAACAATGGCTTCAGAATGAACAATTAAAAAATGAAATGTTCCTGAAAAGTTATTCCTAAAAACTGTCAAAACCCACTCTCGCTGCCAATTCCCAATACGAACCGTGTCCCCCCACCCTGTTTTGTAGGGCAATGTACACCATTAATTCTGTTTGTACTACATAGCGTGGTAGCTACACCATACTGGAACATGACAACACGGTCACCTGTGTTTCGAAGACAGTCCTGCCGTTAAAAGCAATACAAGCCTTTCTAAGGCGAGTTACTTATTTTCCCCTCCCTGACAAGCACCCGAACAACCCCATCTATAAGAATAATGCCCAACTGCCGGCACAGGAACATGTGTCCTTGATCTTCATCCAACTTGTGTTTATTTTTCTGCTGTTAGTTGAGCACATAAAATCCGGCATGTTGCTGCGCTGTGTTCTCTTGCTCCCAAACCCTGGCTGAGGTGTCGGCACTTCAGATGCTTTAGCACAAATGTACCCTAAAGTCTGCCGTGCGACACGAGGGATTCACCCAAGGACACAAACCCAGCGACAGTGCAGGATGGGAGCGGGACTCTCAAATGCATGGAGTCAGAGCATGCAATAAGTGGAAATGACTGTTCAGTACAACAACTGCCTGCTGTTTCACAAGTTCCTGGGCATCACTAGCTGCTGGCAAAGTTTTTGCAACTCATATCATGCTTTACTTATCCCCCGAGTCTGTCCCAGACGAGGAAAGAGGAACATTGAACCCAACATCATCCCCACATCCATGAGCTGCTCTGAGAACAGCTGGGAACGGCAGCCTTCCCCCCCCCGGGTAAATGCAGCCCCCTGAGCTGGGGGAAGACACCAGGCGAGGGGAAACCTGATGATGGTCCACTTTTTAGTCAGCATTTATTGTATAAACTGAGGTTTTACAATTGTTTAGATGCTTACAGGCATCTCTGTTATCTGTGGGGAAGGTGTACTGCAAGACTAAGTGGGGAGAAAACGAGCAGAATACATTGAGGCTTTTGATGAAGTGCCATGAAAAGAATTTGTCCCTTTTATGATGAATTTCATGATACAGGATGCAGTCATTTTTCTCAGAGCCTCAGGTCTTTGAGTGATAGGATTTTATGACTTTTTTTTTTTGTTTCCAAGGTAAATGCTCAGGTTTTCAAGCCCTGTTGACTGCTGAGAAGGGGACGATCTTTAAAAATAAAAAGAATCAGTGGCAATTTCAAATCACCTTAGGTAGAAACCTTAAAAAATTACTAGCTTTTTTTTAGATAATCCTGTGGTTTCTAACAGCTTACCTTGTGGTTTTTGGATGCTTGGAGTTCGAAGTGCTGCTGCAATGACTTTTAAAATAGAGACTTTAAGCTTGATGAACTGTAGTGCTCTATAATTTAACAGGAAATAGGAAAAGGTGCTTAAAGGTCTCTTTACACACTCTAGAAACAGACAACGATAATATATATAGGAAACCCAGCGCTTGCAGCTAAATTAAGCAACACCAGGACAATTTCAGACTTTTGCAGATCTGACCCAGCTGTAGCTTGAGGATAGCACAGAGAAACCACAAGGGAGAAGGTGCAGAGCTGGAGCTGGGCAAAACTCGTGGGCAAAGCATCAAGAGAGTTTGTGTCAGAACCGAACAAAGTATCCACCACATCTTCTGGCACCCGAAACCCTGAAGGATTTGTCCTGAGCAGCTGCTGGCTCCTGGCAGGACCCCCCTCGACAGCCCTAAGGCAGACGGAAATTCAGACGCATCTCACAGTACTTGGGTTCACATAACATCTTGCCCCCAACTAGAGCGACCACCAGAAATGAATTTCTAGGACCCTTCAGGTCTCACAGGTCCCAAAGCCCTACCTTGGCCAGACGCCTTGCTGGTCCTGGTGTCTCCGGAAAACCTCCTTTTCCTCACTTGTCCTTCAGCGTGGCCATGCCCAGGGCCTCTGAGCTGTAGTCGTACTGGTTGCTGGAGGACATGGACCGTCCCCAGGAGCACTGCAGGTTGGAGCCCCTCTTGCGAAAGGAGGACGTGAACCTGTAGAAGTTGCGGTGCCTGTTGCGCAGATATTCCCGGTAGTTTTTGGTGAGCAGGGTGTAGAGGAAAGGGTTGATGCAGCTGTTGCTGTAGGTCAGGCAGGTCACCAGGTAGTTAATGCACTTCTGGGTTTGGGTGGTGAGCTGCAGGGGGCTGCTGTAGAGTCGAACCAGCTGCCAGATCCAAAACGGCAGGAAGCAGGCCCAGAAGACCAGCACGATGCTGAAGATCATGATGAGGACCTTCTGCCGGGGGGATCTCTTGCCTTTCTCCTTGTGGGGGGGGTTCCTCTGGGACTCCAGGTAGGTCCTGGCCAGGCGCGTGTAGAGGAAGCCAATGATGATTCCCGGGGCCATGATGCTGGTGCTGAAGAGCACCGTCAGGTAGGTCCGGTAGGCGTCCGTGCTCCAGGTGGGCGCGCACATCCTCTTCCCCTTGCCCTCCGCCTTGCCCCCCTCGGTC